AGGGAGAAGCAGACTCCCTGCCAAGCAGGAAGCCGGATGTGGGACTCGATCCAGGGACTCCAGGATCATGACCTGAGCCGAAGGCAGTCGCTTAACCAACTGAGCCACCCAGGCGCCTGACCTAATTATTTTCTTACACTGTAATTTAACTGATTCTTTCTAACAAAGCAACAATAAAAAAATTCAATAGCTCTTTTTACATATGTATTTTTTATAATTTACTAAATGACAAGTTTAAAATTTAATAATCCAACTATTATCACTAATCTTTCATTCAGTTACCATTAGGTAAGACACCAAGCATTTGGGAAAATGTCAAATCTGTGTCTTCAAAGAGAATCAGACAAAAAGTATTCAGGTAGAAAAGGAACGTAATTTATTATGGAGCCCTCTACAAATAAGATCCCAATGAATTTAAATAGGATTTGCCTTAAAATTTAACACACTCATTTAAAGACAGAGTAAAAAGTCTTACAGAAACATGTAGTCTTGGCAACCAAAGGAAAGCAGAGGTCAGAAGCCTCGAGAACTGCTGAAGAAATCTGAGTGTTTTCTCTTTGTCCCCCAACATTATCATGAACAAAGAAGATACAAACCAGTCATGGCCAGCATAAGTCCCCTGCAGGCAGACTGAAAACCACAGTTAAGGAACTTTTGCAATATTTTATCTTAGAAGATGAAATATAAGAACTCCATTAATACTCATTTCCAGGATCCTGAGCAGGAAAGAGATATTGATACCTAGTCCTCATTTTATCTTCAACCAATTTACAAGCTAATGTGCTGTTTACTTACATAAGTAAAGGAGGGCAATGGCACTAGTAAATGCAGAAAGAACTATCTGCTTTGTGGCAACATTTATTCAAGTCATTAAAATCATAGTACCACTTCTTTCTCTGGATTAGGTTACCTGCTAAATTACTAACATAATCAAATATTTAAAAATCCATACATTTTTAGAATTCAGTAATGCAAGTGGTTCATATGCTTTTTTCCCTTCAAGTCAAACCTATTTCTGAAAAATAACCAATTCAAGTAAAATAAATGTATGTTCTATTGTTATTCTAGATTTACTCACTCTAGAATACTCTTATTCTAGATATACTAAACCTATTTTTAAAAATTTCTTATATGTATCTGAAAATATAGCCTAATAACTTTACTCAGTTTAAGATTCAATAAGTAAGACTGAATTTAGTAATTACTACACAATTTAATAAAATTCATATTTAAAATACAGAATACTATAAAGGTACATCATAACGAATCAGCAATATAGGTTAAAGTATTATTTTATTAAAAATGTGTTAAGGTACCCTACCAAAGAACTATGAAAAACACATAATGTTCAATTACTGTGAATCCACTCAAAAAGGATACGAAGAGAAGATTTTACGGGAGCTTGCTGCTGTTTCAGGAATCTCTCACAGTGCTTTAAAACCAAGGTAAGATCATTTTCTGCACTGTCTTTTAACAGGTTGAGAAACTTGCCATATCTACATTAAAAGCCCACAAAACATACAAAATGAAAAACATCAGGCTCTGCATTGCAAATTCACTTTTTAAAATCCATCAAGCATAGTCCTCTTGAGATCCCAAGGTTTTAAGTTTTCTTTTACTTCTAGAACAACTATGCTACACAGAACACTTACAGGGAGAGCTTAACACTCAATATATGTTCCTGATAATTATATTTGGATTAGCAGTAGTTATCTGGTAAATACTCACAACTTTAAAGGAAAATAAAACAGTAATGAGAGAACAAAATGTAGATACTGTAGATAAGAAGAATACAAGCATTTTTTCTTGAACTTAATCTAAAACATGCAATGTTGACAGGTTAGACTGACTGAATGTTAAGTCTAGAAGCAATTTTAGATTTCACCTAGTCCAAAGGTTTTGAAAGGGAGCACTTCCCCTGCTGGGGCCGCTTGGGAAATTCATGGGGGCATTTTTTTTTTTTTATTCTTATGTTAATCCCCATACATACATCATTAGTTCTAGATGAAGTGTTCCATGATTCATTGTTCGTGCATAACACCCAGTGCTCCATGCAGAA